GAGTTTTATAAAACGATTCTCGAGTTTTATAAAACTATTCTTGAGTTTTATAAAACGATTCTCGAGTTTTATAAAACGATTCTCGAGTTTTATAAAACGATTCTCGAGTTTTATAAAACGATTCTCAAGTTTTATAAAACGATCTTTGAGTTTTATAAAACGATTCTCAAGTTTTATAAAACGATTTCTCGAGTTCTATAAAACGATTTCTCGAGTTTTATAAAACGATTTCTCAAGTTCTATAAAACGATTTCTCGAGTTCTATAAAACGATTTCTCGAGTTCTATAAAACGATTTCTCGAGTTTTATAAAACAGTCTACGAGTTCTATAAATGACTTTGAGTTTTATAAAACTAGTCCTCGGGTTTTATAAAACTACTCTTTTGGTATTTTCGCGGGGAGTTTTGGCTATTAATTCCGTCGTACCGATTTTGACCCCAACAACATATACCTCAAGATCATGATCAATTCGAAACTTGTAAATTCAATGAAATATACACACTCTGTTGATTATATATTTATCTAAAATTGATAATATTAATTTATAATAACATATTAAAGCATTTTTCAATATTAGGGTATGTTTGTGGTTTGGCTGAGTTATATGAAGCGTTACGGCTGACTTATAGAACCGATACGGCTGGGTTATTTTTTATTTTATTTTAGGGTTTGTTTGTGGTATGGCTGAGTTATATGAAGTGTTATGGTTGGCTTATAAAAACGATACGGCTGGGTTTTATTAAACTTTTTTGATATTAGGGTATATTTTTGGTATGACTGAGTTATATAAAGAGATACGGCTGGCTTATAGAAACGATACGGCTGGCTTATAGAAACGATACGGCTGATACATCCCATTTCTTCATTCATCGAGGATATCTGCTGCCATCTTCACTCGTATACCTTGAATATTCTTATCATTTATCCCATCAAAAGTCACGCCAAGCATCAAACATTCCACAAATTTCAATGAATACACTCCACAATCGCCAACTTGGTCGTTTTGTGGAATGTATTTGTCTTTCCTCTTCAGAACACAAACTGCTTCTTACTAGGTTTTCAGAGATTGACAGGAATATTAGGTTTTACAAGCTCCATCATCGTAAAATCTTAGAGGATAATCCCGTGCTTGATCTTCAGAAACATTCATCTGATCCTAGAACACATATATAAATCAACTGCAATAGGAAAATTAACTTAGTCCCAACATAATACATAACTCAGCCACAACATAGTATAACTCAGCCATAATACAACAAACTCAGCCACAACATAATAAATAACTCAGCCGTGTTAGAAACAAAATTCAGCCACAACATAGTATAACTCAGCCATAATACAACAAACTCAGCCACATCATAATACATAACTCAGCCATAATAGAAACAAAACTCAGCCACAATATAGTATAACTCAGCCATAATACAACAAACTCAGCCACAACATAATCAATAACTCAGCCACACTATAATCTATAACTCAGCCGCAATAGATCACAACGTACATCAAACTCAGCCACAATATAAAATAACTCATTTACAAGATAATATATAACTCATCCACATTGTAAATCAAACTCAGTCTCAATATAAGTTTGACTAAGCCACAACATAACGGAGAAGATGATACGATTGCGACGAAGACGATTGCGTAGAAACTTTTGCGGAGAAGACGTTTTCGACGAAGATGATATCATAGACAGTTCGAGACAAGACGATCTGGGTAACAGTTAGGGTTTAACGACGAAGAAAAAAAGTTGTGACGTTATGATTTTATTTTCTACTCACCGGAAATATGGAGACTGTTGATTTTCTCATGTCACAAAAGTTAGTGACGTGTATTGCCTAATTAGTGATGTAGATTTGATAACTGAAATTAATCTAAAAAAAATTTAAACAAAGGTCTTTATTGTAATTTCTTAGGGATTTGAAAACATTATAGTAATTTTTTAAAAATTTATATCATTCTAGTTATATACCAACTTTTCTATACTATTCTAGTAATTTTCTCTAATATTAATTAGATTTGAGAAGACTTCTCAAAAAATTTCTTTTAATTTTACGCCAAGATTTTGGTCAAACCTTTGAAACCAGACATCTTTATAAAACATTCTCTTAAAACTTAAACATTGTCAGTTGCAACCTACGTAGACTTCATGCGACATTTCGAAGACGTCATGTGACGGTAAGAAAACATCTATAGAAGTATATTTTGTGAAGACTCTATGGAAATCGTCTTTAGAAAAGTCAAGTATTTGTATTTTTTGGTCAATTGCAAAGTTAACTTGTTTATCAGAGAAAAAATATTCAATTCTTTAGAAAAACTTTCTTACAAGTCTTCTTTGGTATAACCGAAATGTATCAAATACAAATCTAAACCAAAATTTACAAAAGAAGACTTCTCAATAAGTCTGCTTTACTAACAAACTTCTTAAGAATTCTTATATTATAACTTTGTAATTGAAAAAAAAAAACCCAAAAATTTATGTAGAATTCTTATCTAGTTCTACGTCAATATTTATTAAACTTGCATTTGCTCCCAATTTAAAATGACCTTTTAAGATTTTTTTTTGTTAGTTGATGTGTATTAATCAATATTGGATTCCTAGATAAAATCTATAAGTTACTTGATTATAATTTTGAGATTATAGACATTAATATTTATTAATATTTCTAACAAATGAGGGAAAATTCTAAAACATTTACAGATTTATTTTTAATTCAATTTAGTTTGTAGAACCTAATATCAGAGGCGGTCCTAGAAATTACAAGGCTAGAAGCAAAAATTATAAAAAAATGGATGCGGTTAAGCAGACTCGAATCTTGGTTCATCCTCTCCATTTCCATGAAAAAAATATTATACCACTGAACTATAATACCAATTTGAAAATTGTTGCCGACACTTAATCATAAATTTGTCGGCCGGAAGTCCATGCTTCAGTGGCTTGGCCCAAAGACCGACTCTGCCTAATATACATGTAAGGAAAATACCTAACCGAGTCTGAATTCTCATGTTTAAGATTTTTATTATTATTATTATTTTTTTGACATCACCATAACAGACTCATATGAACTCTGCAAACCAAACCAGAAGCTCTGAATCCATGTGAACAATAAAAGACAATTGTTTCCTCGCACTTCGTACAAGACTATCCGCCCGTGAATTATGTGTCCTTGGTACATAGATGATTGCCGAGCTGTGAAAATTTCCTTGTAGCGATTTGATATCTTCCAGATAAGCTGCAAAAGCTGGCCATTCGGCTGATTCTGACCTTCACCAATTAAGAACAATTTGTTGCAAAAGTAACAGAATATTAAGGTGTGATTGGCTATTGCTGTAGATGCTCTCCATAGCCATAATTATACTTACAGCCCTATATCTACACCAATCATGATTTTTATTTTTTCTAAAGCTCACAGCCATTTTTTTTTAATTCTACAGCACTTCTTTAAATTCATGTATTTATAATTGCTCTTCGGAGACAAAGACCTACAGCCCATAATTAAAGGCTTTTAAAAATTAAAAATCTAAAGCCAAAGCAAAAAAAATCAGAGCAATATTTCTACAGCCAAAAAATGAAATCACAGCTCTTACCAATCACTCCCAAAGCAGTAAAGAAACTAGGTTTTGATTGGTAAGAGCTGTGATTTCATTTTCTTGCTGTAGAAATATTTCTGTGACTTTTTTGCTTTGGCCTTTAGATTTTTAATTTTTAAAAGTCTTTAATTATGGGCTGTAGGTCTTTGTCTCTGAAGAGCAATTATAAAGACATGAGTGTAAAGAAGTGCTGTAGATTTAAAAAAAAAGCTGTGACTCTTTAAAAAAAATACAAATCAAGATTGGTGTAGATTTAGGGCTGTAACTATAATTGTGGCTGTGGAAAACATCTACAGCAATAGCCAATCACACCTTAAACGAGACAAGAGAAAGAAACAACAATAGCTCCAAGCTGGAGAAATGGGTTTGGTGTTTGAACATATTCAACATGTTGTTGAGGCGCTCCATAGCTGACAAGTCCACCTTTTGGGAAAGTTAGGGTAAGTAACAGCTTTAGGTAGTGGTCCAACCATTACTCGAAGCTTCAGCCCAGCTTCACAATAACCAGACTGTGAATTTATGAAATAATAAACTCCTGGTTACGTAAGCCTAACAAGATCATGTCCTGCCTTGTGCACTGCAACAGGAGACGTTGGGTCGCAGGTAATGAATTCTAGATCACCGTTGATTTCATAGACATCGTTGACTTTGTTGGCATACTCGAAAAATCGAATATCTCCCACATGAAATTTTTTCTTCTCACTTCACTTGTATAGAAGTCACTATTATAGACTTCTCTTACTTCTGAGTCTCCAACCTTGTAGGTTTTTCCGGCAACAAGGTTCTTGCTCGGTGTTGGTGGAGAAATCGGACGTGAAGGGTTATGGATGACAAGAACTTCGAGTTTCTGACCTAATATGCATTGAGGTCGGTTTGGGGTGATGAAGTAATGAAAACCTGGTTCTGTGAGAGTCACAACATTGTTTCATGTATCGTAGATGGCTTTGAAGAAGAATAATCGCATAACTCGTATTCCATAGCGCCAGAAACATAAGTTACATCGTTGATGCTGGGATCATATTCAAAGGCGAGAGAAATATCCCAAGTGGAACTCCTTATAGTTGGTCTCGGCCCATGCGTTATAGACGTCGTCCTTGGAAGTCCATCCCTCGGAGTCTCCGACTTTGTAGACCCTCGCCGAGCAGGAACTCAAGAGAACCGTGAAGCTCATCATCATCACGAACATGAATCTGAAGCTTCTTGTTCTTGTCACATTTTTATAAGGGATAAATCATCAGAAAAATTTAAGCAAAACTCTGCCAAAATCTAGAGACAACGAGAGAGAAAAAAAAAACAATTTTGGTGAAGAACTGTGTGAAGGTTGAGTGTTTTTTGGTGTGTGTGTTCGCGGGAATCAATTCCAGTGAATATGGATACCAGACAGAAGGAGAAGGACAAGGAGCAGGAACGTGGTCAGAAGGATCGTTCCTCTAAGGTTAGTGGTGTGGACTGTTCAAACCGAAGAACATGAACCCATGGGTAAAAACGTGTGGGTTATGGTCTCTGGTCACTCTGGTTACACCCATTTATCTTTTTTCATTTTAGTATCATCCTCTCCTTATAATTCTATGCAATTTTTGTGATCAGAAAGGCCTTTCCATGAACCGTACATAAGTGCCGGTTCAATAGGATTGTTTTAGGCCAGATTTGGGTTTACTGATCCCAAACCACTTTTTAATGAATCAAATTGCTTGAAACTTTGAGGATATATGTTTTAGGATATTTAAGAATTATTGGAAAAAGACTAGGCACGATTTGGAGTTGATTTGCTCAAAAAACATATTTAGGCCTAGGGATGTTTTGGGTCGGATCATAGGGTTAATGATTTTTGCTGTGAATTCTGACCTTGGATTCGTGTTAGTTATATTTTTGGGTATTTTAAAAAGATTAACATTAATTTTTGGAGAACTTTTGAAAATGGGTCAGAGTTGGGGCTAAGATTAGCCCTTAGGCGCAGAACCATGCAAGGCTAGGTTTGTTTTGCTAGGTTATCGGTTATATGATCATGCTATTGTGCTGGTGTGGTTTAAGAGCATGTTTTGTTGTTGTCATAACTGTACATGGAGGTAAGGCTGGTACTAGGTTGTGTGGACCACAAGTATGGAGCTGATTGTGATTATGCAGGGAAGGCCATGGGTGTGATCTGGTCATGGGTTAAGAGGAACGACCTGGTTCATGGATGATGGATCAAGGTGTCTGCTATGTTTGATCAAAGGATGCACATGTTAGGTAAGTATGAAGACTCATCAGTTCTGAGTCATGTGGGGTGGATGGTTGATTGACTGAGGATCTGATGGGCATCATCTAGTCCAGGAGAGGGACTTGCTACAATAACCTACAAGTGTGAGGAGAATGGGTGATGCATTAGTTGGGAGGATCTATGCATTTCCCTTGCTGTTGAAGACTTCCCAAAGATTACTTGGTCAGTGGGGATGGTTTGTTGAATGACTAAGTACTCAAGGGGAGATGTTTATGCAGGAATATGAGAGCAGGGAGTAGCTATCCTATAGCTCGATCACCTGGAAGAGAATGATGGAACCTCAAGTGAGGTGGTACAGCTTAGCTAGCTGGAAGAGATAGCTAAACAAGCTGAGCAGCTGGCCTTAGCTCGGATTCAGCTAGCTTAGGAGTGTCAGCTCAAAGAGCTGGATTAGCTAGCTAAGTCAGCTAGGAGTATGAGCTAGCTAAGTCAGCTGGGTGGATGAGCTAACTAAGTCAGCTGGACCGATGAGCTAACAAGCCCCGTGGATGTGGCAAAGGTATGATCTAGCTACTTTCTTTTAGATCTAGCTAGAATGGTTTAGGGGAATGAAACCTTGGACTTGTATAACTTGTACTATGTAAGGATCGATCTATACGCTGGAAGGTAGTTCAGTGAACTGACTAAGGCATAGACGATTAGATTGGACAAGTGTTAGATTGGTTTTAGACCAATGGTTAATATAGTATAATCCGCTGCATATGAATAGAAATGATCTAAGCTAGGAAATACTAAGGTAGTCTTATGCTAAGATCTAAGTTGGCCCTCACCTATGGGCAATATTATAAATAAAGGGCGAAAATTTTAGAGGTTCGGTCCGGAAGAGGACTGAGCGACGTGAGGTGTCAACCGCGCCTGAGAGGCTGGGATCGGGTCTTACAGAGTGTCTGTATCAGCCTACATTATCAGCCGGAGTACGCCTCCGTCACCGACGCTGGGGATTCGGATGTTAAATTTTACCTCCAGTGACGAGATGGATTCGAACCTGAGTCCGTGTTGAGGCCAAAGCTCCCTCAAGACCACTGGGCCGTCCTCGCTTGGTTAGTGTAGAGATTCTCTCAGTCTATTATTAAGAGAAAACTTGTCTTTTAACCTAAAGTGTCCAAAACGACGCAAAAACCTCTGGTCTTTGATTAGCTTCAGTTCTATTTTTTCTTCTTTTGTAAACTATATTTAACGACACTACTTGCTGAAAAATGATGATGATCCTCAAGCTGCAGTGTGCTTCTCGCGTTCTCAATCTCCGTCTCCCCATATCATTTCTTCACAGCGTGATTATATCTTCTTCGCTTCCTGTAGAGGATGACAATAATGCGGAAAAGGTTTACAAGATGATCAATAAATCAAATTGGTAAGGCTGGTAATGAAAATTACTGGTTGATCCACGTCTGCGCGGGTTTTTTTTTTATTTTTGTAAATTGATATTGTATTTATTATTTATGATTAGTGTTATATATTTTAAATGTGTTACTATATAGCTAATTGTGTTCAAAAGACCCTGAGAGAATCGAGTAATATAGTTACTGTTGGTACAAATATCTGAATCCGTTGCTTATTTGGATATTTTTAGATTCCTATACACCAGAACCGAATCCATGCGAAATTAGGAAGACCCGACTCAAAACGACCCAAAAATTTATAACACTCGAGCTGACCTAGTTTCAAACTCAAAAAAACTGATACCCAAAAGAAACAACACGTACGTGAACGATACCCAAAAGCTCATGCATAACTAATTCTGTTAACAAATAAAATAACTCTTTGTTAACCGTTTTCAAATCTTGTTATGGATGGAGACATTTCGTTTAAACCTTTCAAATTACTATATTTAACATGGAAGTAAATGCTGTCGAATTATTACGGTAAAGACAATTAATGAAATAGTTAGGAAAAGTGAAAAAATAATGTAATAAAATGTAATAATACACTGTAAAATAATTAGCTTTTTTTAGTTTTGTAATAAATAGTGTCTAATTATTTGGATAAGATAATAAATGAAGTGTTTAGAATGGATTCGAAAGGAAAGTGAAAGTTGTAGGAAAACACTTAAATTTAGGAAAATATTGTTCTGTACTTTTGTTTTAATAGAATAGATATTTTAAAATTTAAGCATGTTTTAAATATTTTTAAAAGGAAAATGTGCCAAAAATGGAAAAAAAACTAAGCTATTGTCCCCTTAGAATCAAAACATAAATCTTGTCCCTATAGTATAAAAATAATGAAAAAACAGTCCAGTCCTTACTAATTAACTTTAATATACAATTAAAATGGGATTAAACAATAAAAGTAATAAAGTATACATTTTACAATTTTGATCTAAGAAGTAAAAAACACGAAAAGGTAAAAAAAGAACACAACCTTATCGTCTCGATCTTCCTTCTACATCGAAGAGGAGATTTTATTACCGCCGTCGACACCTTCTTTCTCGGACCGTCTTAGTTTCTCAAAGAGCTTTAACTCGTTGTCACATCTCTCCTTCGTTCCCTACTCTGGTCTTTGCTCTTTAAACCTAACCGATTACAATCATTTTGTAATCTCCGCCAATTACAATCGGAGTTGTTTAGGCTTGAGACAAGCTTCTTCAAGCTGATAATCGACGATTAGCTTCTCATTGTTCTTAATTTTCTCTTCCTTACATCTTGGTTCCCAAAAACTCAAAAGGTAGATTTGGAAATCCCCTTTATAACTTTTTGTTTGTTTTTGTTCATGTGCATGTACTAGGAAAAATGATTTTTTAAAAACATAAATCAATCACGTTTATGGTTTTGGTTGTAGTTTCTGGTTGAGTTGATTGTGAATTATATTTTGGTTGGAATCGGGTGTATATGTAGTTTTGAATGCCTAGTAGAGTAGTAATGTGAAATGTTCTTCATTTGCTCTGACTAGGAAGAGATTAGATTGATTTTTTTTTCTAAACACCGAGATGAAATTGATTAAAAACATCAATCAGTTCACGTTTATGGTTTTTATTGTAGTTTACAGCTGTGTTGATTGTATATGTAGTATTCTGAGTTATATTTTTGGTTGGAATGGGGTTTGTATGTAGTTTTGAATACCTAATAGACTAGTAAATGTGATATGATTATATTTTGTTTGCTGTACATTTTGGATACCCATTAGGGAATGGCTAGTGAGTTGAAGTATTTGATTTCATGGTCTATAGGCATGGCCTATGCGTAGCCAAAACGCATTCTTGAAGAAAGATCTGAGACTCGGATTGATAAGATTAAAAGTACGTGTAGACGTACGATTCTGGATATATTGAAGGTTTCTCTCAAGGGTGAGTACAAGGAAGTATTGAATGACCCTATCTTTGGTCCGATTCTGGCAATAATGAGAACAACCTCATTTACTCAAGGAAGATTATTCACAAACTCATATGCAAGCAGCTAAAGTTTTCTAAGCTTCACGAGTTGTGGTTTGTATTTGCAAGGAGGCCTTTGAGGTTTTCAACAAGAATTTTATGCCGTGACTGGACTCAAGTACAAAGATGAACCTGCCATACATTTTGATAACTGGAAGGATGATAGGGGTTCTGGAGCAAGGTGCTGAAGCGAAATAGGAGGATCAACTTAGTGAGTATAAGGACGGAGCACCTTACAGATTGTAACCAGTGAACGTACGTCGACAAGGTGAGGCTAGTGTATTTGTGTATCATCCATGGTTTCGGCATGGCTAAGGATGAGAAAGTGCATATTCTTGAAGCACACATCCGTTTGGTGATGGATTTTGAGAAAATGAGGATGTAACCTTGGGGTCTTCCTGCATATGATGAGCTGATTACATCAATAGTCAAAGCAAGCCCGATTTGCATCCGAAGAACATTTATGTGTTGGATGGATTCTC